GGGGGGGAAAGGGGACATATGTAATACTTTAAACAATAAAGAATTAAAAAATATATTTAAAAACAAAAAAATGTTTTGTTTGTGAATGTTCTTAACAAAGCAGTAAAAATTATGACTTGTATGAAATCTTGACTCTTGAGTACACAACTTTTTAAACACAGGTGACAAAATGAGAAGTACACAAAAAGCACTGCTTTAATGCATTCCAAAGTATGATGATTGTCTGAGTCAAAGACATATACAAAGTGGTCTTTTGGCAGACATTTTCTTGAAAATAAACAAAGCCAGCCTTTCACTTTGAGGAAAACAACTGACAGTACTTGTTGCCAACTGCAAAGTTCAAGCTTTCAAGTGAGTTTTGGAAAACTTATGTCAACGTCCTCCAACTACAGACCACAGGAATATTCTTGTAGTTGAACAAGTTGGGTTTATTACTCATGCAAAGGAAAAAGACACGCCTTAGGAAGCCTGGGGCATCAGCGAGAGGGTGTTGAGGACTTGTTGCAGGATTGGGTCTTTAGCTGGATGATCTGGGAGAAGGTGTAAAGAAGTGGGGGTTCTCTATACATGGGATGCTGTCAGAAAGCAGGAGTATTTCTATGATGAGCTATTTTTAGAAATCTTACCTATAGAAGGGAGACTAGAATGAGGATAAAGTTGTAATGAGTGAAGGAGTGGCTCATGTCAGCCAAGAGGAGAGGTTTGCTATTTTGTGTGTGGCACAGTGACCTTGGCTTTTGTTTGCGCTGAAACAAAATTATTATGTAGCCTGCTTTGTCTTACTTTATTATCACACAGAGTGGCCTTGCCTGAGGGTGTATTCTGTGCGATTATTTAATAGGAAAATAACATGCCCTAGAGCTGGAAGTGCCAGGCCAGCTTCCGCTCTTTTTTTTTCTTCTTAGTATATTTTTATTGATTTCAGAGAGAAAGGGAGAGAGAGCCAGAAACATCAATGATGAAAGAGAATCACTGATTGACTGTCTCCTGCACGCCCCACCCTGGGGATCGAGCTCACAACCCAGGCATGTGCCCTGACTGGGAATTGAACTGTGAACTGGTTCATAGGTCGTGTTCAACCACTGAGCCATGCCGGCCAGGCTTGCTCTTTCTTTTCCTTTCTCACCTATATCCTTCAGCAGGAGCTTAATAGCTTCCCAATATACAGACTTTAGAGATGAAATTAGTGATGATACTAATGATTTTTTAATATCACATGATGAAATGGATCAAAATTCAGATCAATATGTCAGTTAACCATCCTATATAATAAAAGTCCAGTGACTGAATGACAGAACTACCAGAACAACCGATCAACCAGTCGCTATGACGCACACTGACCACCAGGGTACAGATGCAGAAGCTTCCCCCTGGTGGTCAGTGCACTCCCACAGTGGGAATGCCGCTTGGCTGACTGGGATGAGCAACGTTTCTAAAGCGGGCTGATCCCCGCAGGCCACACACCCCCACCACCAGTGCATGAATTCTGTGCACCGGGCCTCTAGTCACCTATAAGTTAGACAGTTATATAACAAGATAGTTAACAGTTTCATAGCTAAGGAAACAACATTTAATAATGTTATGCCTCTTAATTCATCCATTACTTACTGAGCACTTACTTACTAGTCTTATATTACATGCTAAGGATAGAGAATGTAAAAAGGAAAGGTCCTTGTCTTCCAAGGGTTCTCAGTCCAATGGGTTAATAAAGATTAACAGCCCAGAAGAATACAACACAGAAACATAAGATACACTGGGAATAGATAATAGGGGCCCTTAATTTAGACCAAACAGGAAGTTTCCCAAAGTAGATAATGACAGAGCTTTAGAAGTTAGCTGACCTAAGAAATGTCAGAGGCAGAGGAATAGGAGAAAAATAGGCGGGATGTAAGGAATTTTGTATAAAAAAGAGTAGAAAGTCACCTGGCTGTACAGTGGGTAGAGCAGGAAAAAGATCAGGGTGCTGGCAGGGGTTCTAGTCAAGATCTGATGAGGGCCTTATATAAATAAGCTGCGGTAGTGGGTATAGAGAGGAAGGAATGGGTTTAAGAGAGATTAAAAAGTTAACATAAAGAATGTGGTAACTAACTGTGGGAGGCAGTTAGACATGAGCAGAGCAAAGACAATGGGCTGGTACAGGGTGAAAAGCCTAGCAAAGGACAATTGTAGGGTGGGACCTGGTCCCCAGGGTGACCTTTTGTCCCCTAGCATATTGCTGGTCATGCAGTTTGGACCCCCTGACCTTTCCTCCCTAGAGATAACATCTAGACCTCAGTTTTATTTCAGCTCCAGAAAAGCAGCAAAACCAGACAAGCAACACCACAATCAAGGCTGACCTCAGGACCAGATGCATTGAATAATGACCCCTGCCCTGGTGCCAAGCAATCAATCAATGGAGACCCCAACCATGACAGGACACACCTGGAAAGCTGCTGAATAGTCTATTGAGATCTTCCCCTGGGACCTCCCCTAAAATCTCCACCCTTAAAACCTTAGAAAGGAGGACCCAGCTGCTCTCCCTCTCCTGAGCCCGCCCATGCCTTTGCCTTTCCCTTCCTCCTCCCCTGCCGTCCCGCTTCCCCAGGTGTCTTACCATTACCTTCCTCACTCCCAAGTTCCTAGAGCTCTTCCTTTGCCTCTAAAACTTATTTCCTAAGCCCATTTCTTCTACGAATTACTTCTTCTACCTCTGTGATTTTCCAAATAAATGTTTTCTTATAGTCTGAGTCTTGGCTGTGAATTCTTCCCTAGCCAGAACTCAAGTACTGAGGTTGCTGAACCCAGGTCTGGTATAACTTCTGATGCCATTCCCGCCACCTACAAGATTACTGGATATCTTCACTAAGTGAACTTAAAAGCAAACCAAGGCTAAATGTCCTCCAACTGGTGTACTTTCTTCCTCTTAAAAATTATTGTGACATGCCCTGATCGGTTTGGCTCAGTGGATAGAGCGTCGGCCTGGGGACTGAAGGGTCCCGGGTTCGATTCCAGTCAAGGGCATGTACCTTGGTTGCGGGCACATCCCCAGTAGGGGGTGTGCAGGAGGCAGCTAATCGATGTTTCTCTCTCATCGATGTTTCTGACTCTCTATCCCTCTCCCTTCCTCTCTGTAAAAAATCAATAAAATATATTTTTAAAAAATTATTGTGACATTAATACTAATTAAAGTACATTACCTGGTGTTCCTTTGAGGAGTCAGGATAACCTGGCCTTCTGGCGTGATGTCTATAATACAGTGTTCAGGAAGAATTCCCATGCCACACAGCTGGATATCTTGGGAATTTGCTGAACCTATCAATGTATGTTCCTACAAAGGAATCAAATACACTGATTAATACCATATTCTTACATGTATACAAAGTAAAATAATCTACTCTGAGCCTTCTTATATTAATCAATCCATTACCTTAACTAAGAGATTTTTAAAGCAAATAGAATAGCATGGGGAATTTCTGGCTTTCTCTGAAAATCATTTGACAAGTTCTATTTCCTTTAGGGAATAATACACTGAGTTGAGTTATACCTTTTAAACTGAAAACTATAGTTTTATATTAATGCCTCTACTATAATCATTATTTTCCATTGCAACCTTTTTTTGTTGTTGTTAATCCTCACTCAAGGATATGTTTTCCTTTGATTTTTAGAGAGAGTAAAAGGGAGAGAGGACGAGAGAGAGAAACATTGACATGAGAAAGACACATCAATTGGCTGGGGCCAGGGATCGAACCTATAACCCAGGTACATGCCCTTGACCAGGAACTGAACCCTTGACCCTTTGATCTACAGGCAACACTCTAACCACTGAGCAAAACTCCAGAGCTCCAATGCAATTTTGATTCCAAATATTTTATGCTACTCTCAGAGCATGAGCCATAGGGCAAGGATGTACCAAAAATATTGGTCTGAAAACTACACGTACTTAAATTGCACATCACTTACCTGGTCTCAATTAAGATAAGTCAACTATAAAGATAAAATGTTATTCAAATGTAAGAAACTAAAAAGACTAAAATTATTTTATGAATCACATAGTCTCTTTAAACATCATAAGAGATATGACAGGTGTGTTTTTTTCACCGTAGACCCCCTAATTACTCAATTCTCTACACTCCAATCACTAGCCTCACTTTTTGCAGGTTACTGAGAAATGGATATAAAAATCAAGCTCCCTCTTATGCGTTTCAACATCTGACTGTCCATCCATGATTAAATGTTCACATGACCTGGATGTGTCTTAGGCCACCTTCTCCTTCTACTCCGCTAAGTCAGGGGTCAGAGTCACACGCAACTACTCAATTCTGCCCTGTAATGTGAAAGTAGCCAGACAATATGCAAATGACTAGGTGTGGCTACTTGCCAATAAAACTTTATTTATGAGCACTTAAATTTGAATTTCATATAATTTTCAGGTGCTTGAAATATTAAGATTCATTTGATTTCTTTTCAACCATCCAAACAATGTACTATATGGCTCCTGGGCCAGAAGCTAGATTTGGCCTAGGTGGCTGACTCCTGACCAGGAGGATCTCATCCAGTCCCATGAGCTTTAAATACTGTCTACATAATAAATTAAATCACCAACCCAGAACTACAGACTTGGGTTCCATTATTCCCCACCTCTACGACCACAATCTTAGTCTCAGTCACCGTTATCTCTTGCCGACCTGGAAGAACCTGGCTGTCTGAAGACATTTCAAAGTGAAAGGGCCAAAGCAGAGCCTTTTCCACCCCAATCCACCCCCACAATGACTCTATTCCTTTCCCCAAAAATAATGGCGCTACCACTACCCAGTTAGGCAACTAAAAAGCTAAAATGCTATCTTCAAGTCCTCTCTATCCTTTATCAGTCTAACTCCTCACCCCATGTCAATCAGGAAATCTGTATGGACTCCCCCTCCAAAGCATATAAGGAATCAGCTCATTTCCCCCACCTCTGTTGTCATATCCTAGTCTCCTGCCTGGGTGAACACAGGGGCTTCCTACTATTTTTCTATGTCTACTCACCCGACCCGTCCACTCCCACCACAACAGCTGATCATGTGATCCCCCTATTTAAAACTCTCTAGTGGTTTCCTTTTGAAGGTCTAATGAAATCCAAATTCTTACCAGGCTTTACAAAACACTGTGATCTGCCCCCAGCCCCTATGCTAGCACCCACCACTCTCTCTCTCCTGGAGCTACACCCAGTCACATTGGCCTTTTACCTGGTCTTTGAGTACACTGGCTGTTTCTTCTGTCTGAAATGTTCTTCCCCTGTTCTTGATATTGGTAGTTTCCTGCCATTTCTATCTCAGCTTTTATGGGCATATCCTCAGAGAGGTGAATCCTGAACTATCAGAAATAGCCACCCATCACTCTCACATTTGAATTCCTACATAGCTCTGACTTTCCATGTCAGAGATGATATAGCTCTGTCACCTCCAGAGCTAACATGGAAGCTCCATGAGAGCAGAGAACAGCCACACCTACTCCCCACTGTAACACAAGCAGTTAGCACAGGCCTTACACATAAAGGCATTAAGTAAATATAAAAGGAAAATAAATGAACTGTCATCTCCCTTAACCTTCCCTTCAGACTCAAAAGAAGATGATTCCCTCTTCTTGGCTGGTAACACTTCTAATTATATTTTGAGTTCTAGTTCTTCCCAGGTCATCTAGGATCTCAATCTAATATAAAGGCCTCTTCCCCTCTGGTATTTTTACTTCCCTCTTTCTGGGGGTTTCTTCTCTCAACAACATTGCAGTGGTGTTTCCAAGGAAACAAAGGGTTGGGATCCAGCACTGTGCCATGGTATCCTGTTCAATCCTCAAGGTCAGGGGTCCTCAAACTTTTTAAACAGGGGGCCAGTTCACTGTCCCTCAGACCGTTGGAGGGCCGGACTATAGTTTAAAAAAAAACTATGAACAAATTCCTATGCACACTGCACATATCTTATTTTGAAGTAAAAAAAACAAAATGGGAACAAATACAATATTTGTATTTGCATGTGGCCCGCGGGCCGTAGTTTGAGGACCCCTGCTCAAGGTATATATATAATACAGAGGACATTCCAGAAAATGTCTACTGCTCACTTTTAGCTGAGGCTTCATGGCCAATCACATACTTTCCTAACCTGGAGAATAGGGCTTGACCAGGTGTAAACTATAAGTAATGCTTTTGTGACATTCAATAGCAGAATCTACTCCATGTCTGTCTCCATTCCCCAATTGGGTTCCTCCTTCCCTGTCTTACAACACCAAACAAAAGGTGGAGAGAAATTCCAAAAAAAAAAAAGAATCCAAGGAGAAAAAGATCATCTAAAAAAGAAAAATGCCCCAAAGTACTAGCCTTAGGCCATTTCTACATCTAATCACTTTCCCCCTCCCATGGGAAATTCTAGCTGGAGTCCTAATTGTGCCTGTGGAATCCTTTTCAGTACTGGGGATAGAGGTGGAGAAACATTTGCATCATGAGGTTGCAGAAAGGAGAAGAGAGAGAGCAAGAAATTAAAAACCTGTTTGAAAAAATAACGAAAGAAAATTTCTCTTACCTGGCAAAAGAAATAGACATACAAGTCCAGGAAGTGCAGAGTCCCAAACAAGAGGAACCCAAAGAACCTCACACCTAGACACATCATAATTAAAATGCCAAGGGTTAAGACAAAGAGAGAATCTTAAAAGCAGCAAGAGAAAAGCAGTTAGTTACCTACAAGGCAGCACCCATAGGATTGTCAGTTGATTTCTCAACAGAAACTATGCAGGCCAGAAGGGAGTGACAATAAATATTTAAAGTGATGAATAGCAAGAACCTACAACCAAGATTACTCTACCCAGCAAAGCTATCATTTAGAATTGAAGGTCAGGTAAAGAGCTTCACAGAAAAAGCTAAAGGAGTTCAGCATGACCAAACCAGTATCACATGAAATGTTAAAGGGTCTTCTTTAAGAAAAAGAAAAAACAACAACATGAATAATAAAATGGCAACAGATACATATCTATCAACAACTGAATCTAAAAATCAAAATAAACAAACAAGGAATCTGAAGAACAAAATAAACTGATGAATAAAATAGAACCAGCCCTCGCGGTCTTGGCTCAGTGGCTAGAGCATTGGCCTGCGGATTGAAGGGTCCCAGGTTCAATTCCGGTCAAGGGCATGTACCTTGGTTGCAGGTTGGGGGAGCAGAGGCAACCAATAGATGTGTCACTTTCACATTGGTATTTCTCTGTCTCTCCCTCTCCCTTCCACTCTCTTTAAAAATCAATGTAAATAATATCCTCAGGTGAGGAGTAAAAAAGAACCAGAGGAATGGAAACGTGGAACAGACTGAAGAATCTCAGAGGGAAGAAGGAGGGGAGCGGGAAGAGATTAACCAAAGAACTTATATGCATACTAGAGGCCCAATGCACAAAATTTGTGCTAGGGGCTTGGCCTTTGCAGCCCCAGCTGCCTCGGCCTCTCATGGCCCCGGCTGCCTTGCTGCTCCATGGCCCCACCCACCGGTCATTCTGGAAAGTCATCTGGAAGGTTGTTCCAGAAGGTGGTTCTGCCATCTGGTCTAATAGCATATTAGTTATTTATTATATAGGATACGTATAACCTATGGACACAGACAATAGGGTGGTGAAGGCCTGGGGTGGGGCGGGAGCCAGGTGGAGGGAAGCAATGGGGGTAAAAAGGGCTGGAACATCTGTAATAATCTCAGCAATAATTTTTTTTTAAATTCTCAGAGATAAGATATTAACTCAAACATGTACTTATCTAGTCCAAATTCTAAATGAAAAATTATATTTTTCAACAAATATATTGAGCACCTATTTTGAGCTGAGCACTGAGCCACTAGAGCCAAAAAACAGGAGAGGTCCTAATTATAGAGCTTACACTATAAATGACTATTTAAATATCTCATTTAGGGTTATAATCTATCCTAATTTGAATGATGATTTGCTAAAATCTCAAATATCAAGTTCCAAAAGCTCAATTCTGCCAAAGCTTTACTCTTTGATGTTTAAACAAGTTAAACAATAAGCTTTTTGATAAGTTCTTCCTATAGAGCTCTAAACACTGCAATAAAATACCAATGAGGAAAAAATTAACTTATCATAGGTTGGTATAGAAGTTTATCTAATCAGTAACTAAATTCTGTGAAGGTACAAGGTAATTAAAATAAAAGTTAATCAGGGATAGGCTTCTGGTCTCTACGTGATATATGAGTATAATGAATGACTCTTTAAAAATACTAGTTTTAGGGAGCATTTGAGATCTTGCTCCTTGGCATATGTTGTCAGTTTGGCTCAAATAAATTCATAAAAATTCAAAAATTCAAAAATATACTAGTTTTAGGGAAAACTTTAGCAAACACAAAATATTGCTTTAAAATCTCAGAAACAATAAAAAATAGAAATGGCTTTTTAACCTTCATTTAAATTTAATTTCACTGGAGATGATTAGTTAACTATTCTATGAATTTACTGGACCTTGCTTCCTTTATGAATGAACTACCTATGTGGCTTTCTTGAGACTCTCCCTTTGATCAACTAAGTCCTAAAGGGTGGGGAAATAAAGGAGAGAGACAGGACATGTTCACTAGTGACATAGCACAGTGTGGCTTTTCCCTTCCTGCAATCAGGGAAAGCAGCATATTAGTATAGCCTGTGCAGTCCCTCAACCTTATCAATATTCTCAATTTCTGAAGGGAAAAGTAAATGAATGCCAGGGATAATAAGCAAAAACGTTTTTGTTACTCTTTACATATCTAAATAATCAAAATTCTTTAACAGTCCGGTGTGTGTGGCTCAGGCTGTTAAAGAATGGTGGTTGAGCATCAACCCACACACCAGGAGGTTACCAGTTGAATTTAGGGTCAGGGCACATGCCCGGGTTGCAGACTCAATCCCCAGCAGGGGGCGTGCAGGAGGTAGCCAGGTGATTGATCAATGTTGATGTTTCGTTCTCATCCATGTTTCTCTCTCTCTCTCTCTCTCTCTCTCTCTCTCTCTCTCTCTCAAATTAATAAAAACATTTTTTTTTAAAAATTCTTTAACCAAGAACTCACTCTTGCTCAGCATAACCAAGACTCTGAAGACAGCTTTTCTGGAATGGAGGTAGAGAAGGAAGAAAAGTTATCTGCCTGTTTTTTACATTCAAATACTAAAATAGATGATCCAAACTGCTGCCATCCAAGAACTTCTAACATGCCACAACTTCTTATTCATCTTGGGTTTCTTGAAGCTTGGTACACAGCTCCATAAACACTGAATGACAGCTGCCCCTGCCATTCTGATCACCTCAATTAGTGATTAGCAAAGATAACAACATGAAGTTTTCTTTCAATGGGAGCTATGCTATGGGGTCAACATGTGCTTTGAAGCTTCTACTAAATCACTGGTACAAATCCTTATCAAGTGTGCATAGGTATAATATGCCTCAAATCCTTCAGAACCACCCTTGCTTTCCCAGCCATTGATAGCTGACTTGCGTGTGTGTATGGTGTCAGAGGGGGTACTAGGCTTTTGGGTTGATCATTTCATAAGTTATATACATGTCTAATCACTGTTGTACACCTGAAATTAATATAATATTGTATGTCAACTGTAGTTGAAAATTTTAAAAATTACTTTAAAAAATAGCTGACTTGTGAAAAGAGTAGACCCAGAACTACATAAGCAAAATAGCTCTCCTGAAAGATTTGGTGGATGATTCAGAGGCGTGATTGGACTCAATCACACTATGATCCCATTTCTATAATTTAAAAATATGTATCAGTATAAATCCATACACATACATATGGGGATAGACCCAGAGGATACAGATAAAAATACCAAATATTAACTATGAACATCCCTGCATGTTTGAATTAGGATGGTAACACCACCCCCTTCTTTTTCTAATATGTCTTCATAAAGCTTTTTAAGGGTGGGAAGTATATTACTACCATAATGTTTGTAAGGTGAGGGAAGCAGCTCTTCCCTCTAGAACAGTGATTCCCAAAGTGGGCACTACCGCCCCTCGGTGGGCGCTGAAGCGATCCAGGGGGGCGGTGATGGCCACAGATGCATTTGGGGGCGATGAGTAACTGCTATTAAAATTTTAAAAAAATTGTTGACCTCAGAACTCAGGCAGGTCTTGCTTTGCATGTGAGCACGGGACATAAAAATAACTGTGCAAGGAGATCTTACTAATCAATGGGAAAGTTGCAATTATCCTATGACCTTTAAAAATGTCTATAAAAACATTAAGAATTCTCTTATTGCTATAATGTACAGGGAAATGAAAAACTAGTGAAACATTTATTTAGGATGCTGCACTGAAATTTAAAGCATTTTATATTTCTTTATATAAAGCTTATCCAGAGTTGTCTGAACAGTGCTTGCCATCTTCTCAATACATAACTTACAATACGGAGTGAGCTTATGGTCCATGCATTGGCAAACTATCATACTCCTTTCTAAACTTCTATCATTTTATCCTTTGTGCTTTCAATGTTGCAAAATATCTATGGGAGTTCCTTATCTAAGTGTTGTCTGGCACACTCCCTTGAGACATCTTTATCATCACAACCACTTTCACTATTTACCTTGATAAATTCGCCCTCACTATGTTCCTCTGGCCGTGCATCTAGAATCTCATGAGTGGGGGCAGTGCCAACATTATTTACTAAATCATGGCAACTAGAATTTATGTATATCATCACTATGTAAAGCACAGATTGCCTGTACATGCAAATAAGTTGCAAAATTATCTTGTGAGTTATCTTCTATCTAGGGCATTGATGGCGAACCTATGACACGCGTGTCAGAGGTGACACGCAAACTCATTTTTTTGGTTGATTTTTCTTTGTTAAATGGTATTTAAATATATAAAATAAATATCAAAAATATAAATCTTTGTTTTACTATGGTTGCAAATATCAAAAAGTTTCTATATGTGACACGGCACCAGAGTTAAGTTAGGGTTTTTCAAAATGCTGACATGCCGAGCTCAAAAGGTTCGCCATCAGTAATCTAGGGTTTGGCCCCATACCTCACCTCTGCCAGTTCTGGACAGAACAAATAAATGGAAGATACTGTTCTGGAAGAGAACCATACAACTTGGAACTAGAAAGAACATTAGAGATATTTTAATCCAGTGCGCTCATTTTACAAGTGGGATGCCCAGAGATGTTAAGGCATCTGCCCAGCATCTCTATTGACTTGAGAATTTGAAAGCAAAAAATACAAAATACACAGCCTCCGAATTCATCCGTCCCACATCACGGTATAGCTTTACTGAAGCAAAAACTGTTCTTGGACTGAGATCATCCTTTTGAATGTGCTTGGTCATGAATATACTCTCGTCATGGGGTTGGACAGTGAAGAAATCCACCCTGCCTCAAATCCTGCCAAAGCAGGGTTCACCACACAGTCTGGAACAGAATCCCAGCACCTCCACACAAGGCGGCCAGAAATATTTTGACTACCCTCCAAAAGCCTTTAAATAGTTTCTTTGTTTAACTTTTTAGTTAAGGAACAGATATGAATCAGTTTTTTCTGGGGTGTCTGTGTTTGTGTTTTCCAATTTGAAATTCGCCACATCAGAAAGAGAAAATTCGTAGTTCTGAGAAGTAAAAAGGGCAGAATATTTCAAGTCCTGTTCTAATATTGCATCTCTCCTAAAGATGTAAATATCTACAGCTGACATTCTAACAAAATGCTGCCAACACTGTCTAGAAGCACATTAAGTGATGTGATAATACATCATATATTTTTAATTGATTTTTTTGAAAGAGAGGAAGGTAGAGGGAGAGAGAGAAACATTGAGGTGAGAGCGAAACATCAATTGGCTGCCTCTACAGGGAATTGAGCCTTAATCCGGGCATGTGCCCTGACCAGGAATCAAACCAGCAATCTTTCCATACATGGGATGATGCCCAACCAACTGAGCCACACTGGCCAGGGCTTAAAAAATTTTAATTGATTTTTAGAGAGAGAGGAAGTGAGAGAGAGAATACTACATCATATTTTTTCAATAGACAAGGATAACGTGCATAAAGTACCACAGAAAATATCAAATGTGAAAATGATATGTGGAATATTTTATATTTGTATAGTGCTTCTGTTTATATAGAGCTTCTATATATACAATCTCATTTAATCCTCACAGGAACTCTGTGAGGTAGCCAGACAGAGAAAACTTCCATTTTAGAGGAAGCATCTGCAGAGGATGGCAAAGGACTTGAGATCAAACTTCTGTTAAACAGTGATGTGGCTAGAAACACAGTGTTGCTCCCACTGCAGCAAAGTACCTGATAACCCACAGGATTGTATGTATCAAAGACATGATTTAACCACAGTTATAATACCAGTAATAAAACATGGTATTCAAAATTACACCATGTAGTTATCCCAGGATATCTTTGAAAAAAACTGGGAAACTAGCCAATACGTCATGAACTCTTTAGTCTCTTTGGAAATGAAACCACACAATTCTCTAATTTTAAAGCAGTTTCCAACTTTACCAGTTCATTATCTTTACTTTCCTAGTCACCTTAGTTAAAACCACACATATTATGAGGAGGGAAATTTTCTAATATTTATTAACCTCCTGTGAGAATCATATAGTCCATTATATAACTCACTTACGCTCTGGGCTTGATAAAAACAATTTGGGGTCACTCCTCATGATTTATGTAATCTCAGGATTCATAAATTTGTCTTTTGTCTTCTTCCTGGTGTGTCCCACTATTTATAGCTTCAGGCGTACAACAGTATTTGTTTTATTCCTATTCCACACTCTGACCCTTCCAGTCTCTAAGTGACCTATTCTCTCTTTTTTTATAAGTTGATAATCCAAATTTTTAAATTTTCCTAAGAGTTACTGGAAACACAACTTTCATATCAAGTGATCCTATGAATATAACTTTCTTCAAGCATTTCCTCTTGTAAGCTAACAAAGCACTCGCACAAAGGCATGCTTCATATAAACCACAAAAGGTTCAGTCTACTAATGAATCAGTTTTAAGTCATTCCTTAAGCTTTAAAGTAGTCTATTTAACAATCTGGTATAACTCAAATTAAAGAATAATAGCTAAGCTACTTAATTTGTTAGAAATAATATCAGAATATCATTGTTTATATTACAAGGTTGAATGACATCACTCAAAAAATAAAAAAGGAAACTATTCCAGAAACCCAAGATTTTTCTACACTTCAGCTTATTCAAATAAAAACAATTGGCTAATTCATTATTTTGAATAAGCGTAGTTCTCCAACTTAAAAAAAAAATGCTGTGAAACACTGTTCTATTTCGTGACAGGAAATAGTAGCAAAGCCTATTACTTCACCTTTAAATAGTAAACCAGAAGTTCATTCAAAGCAGGATCAGCATTCAGATTAACAAGGAAACATTTATCATCCCCGACTTTAATTCCAGAAGATTGAAGAGATATTCCAAGACTTTCAAGTTGTTTCTGCCGCTCCTGTAAAGGTATTAGAGAAGTATTAATTCCATAGCTATTGATGCAGTGAGATATAAAGGATCTTATGTTAGAGTAATTATTGAATAACCTTATAAGTCAAATATGTTAACTTAGAACATGGCATTATAGATTACTAGAGGCTCGGCCTGGCCTGCGCCCTCTCACAATCCAGGTACCCTCGGGGGATGTCCGAGAGCCAGTTTCGGCCCAATCCCCACAGGCTAGGCCAAGGGACCCCACCAGTGCACAAACCCGTGCACCAGGCCTCTAGTATGCATATAAGATTTTTGGTTAATCTCTTCCTATGTTTCCCCCTCCCCCCTTCCCTCTGAGATTCATCAGTCTGTTCCATGTTTCCATGCCTATGCATTGAGCGTCTGCCCCCTGGTGGTCATTGCATGTCATAGCTACCGAACGGTCGGCCAGTCACTTAGGCTTTTATATACATAGATTGCGTTTTTTTCTCTTTCCAAACTATGTAATGTTTGTTATTTTACTTTATTAAGTTTTTCATTTTGAAAAATAAAGCCATTACAAATAACAACCAAGTATACTGAGTTCTCAATTTTCATTCTTGAAAATAACATCTTGAATTCATCTTTCTCACTTAATTCTGTACATATGAGCAAATGTACATTTGTTTTACTCAACTGTGATGTTTCTAAACAGCCAAGTTTTCAACACACTTTCTACTTGATGCCTCATTGACTCCCCAGCCAGGATGAAAGCCAAACTCCTTCAGCGAAGTCCACAAGGCCCTTCAATCTGGCCTATTTAATGTACTCCCATCGTCACATCTTGTTACTCCTACTTTCAAAACCTATACTACAGTTGCATGGAACATCTTCCAGGTCCCTGCAAGTGTGGAGAATGCTCTATTTAGCGTAAGAGACTTTACACCTGTGTCTTCTAGCTGGAGCACACTTGTTCTCAACTGGTAACTGTTTACTTGCCCATTTCTCTACATGGCATGCATTCTATCTATCCACTATGTACTCCCAGCTCAAAGCATAACACACACTGATCACTCAAACGTTGGTCTTATAAATTTATCAAAATAAAACTTGCATATGCACTCAAGTGCTATTTTCATAAGGATATGAACGTTTCTTTTTCTGTGCCTACTGTCACTGAATCCTCAATATATGAATGTATGCATATGAATGGATACATATGAATCCTGCAACTGATGCTCTATAATTAAGGCGTATGAATTGGGGCAGAGAAAGGTGTCTGGCCATTATAAATAGCAAGCTGTAATGAGTCACTGCCACCAAGGACTTTTGATTCTGGGGAAAGACAAAACATGCGAAGTCATTTAATTAGGGCCACACAATAAATATGCAGTATAATTAACTCACAGCTTCAGAATCTTGCTGTTTCTAGGGATACCATCCTAATTTACATGGCCACTGCAATCCAGTCAATACATTTTGCCTAGAAGTATACTATTACAAAAGTTGGGATATTTTGTTTCTGGGTTTTTGAATCAAGTCTCCCTTCTAACAAAAAACACTACGGGGTTCTTTTAGAAGTTCTGATTGGTGTAACATCAGACATTAGAGTTTTCAGCTTTCAGTTCTAAGAAATGATTACCCTTGATAAAGAACATGTTCCTAAAATGAGGAGAGCAATTCTGACTTATCTTGTGTAGTCCTTTCTAAGGCAAGGCTCTTTTACATAGGAATTTGGGTAGGCAATTAAAGAATTATCCCAAGAATGAAAAGAAACATACTTGCTAACTCCTGATCATGTCCAGGTTTTGATTTCAAGAGTAGAAAAAATGAAAATAAGAGATTGTTTGGTATCACAGGTATGTCACTGGGCTTAGAAATTAGTCAACTTGAGTTCTGTTTGTTTACTCAAAAACATTATTGAACACCTACTTGAGAAACAAAAAGTAAGGCCTTTTTTCTTGAGAATCTTACTCACTCATCTTACCTAATAATAGACAAACATGTAAATTGACCGTCCCTCCGCTACACTCACCAGCCAATCAGAAGAGTATGCAAATTAACCCAACAAAGATGGCGGTTAATTTGCATACATAGGCACAAAGTGGCAGAGCAAAGATGGAAGGCTCCGGCCCCGAGCAAAGGCCTGGGTCCCAGGTGCCGGCAGCCAGGGGAAGGGAAGGCCTATTGCACAAATCTCTTCGTGCAATGGGCCTCTAGTTTGGTAATAAAACTGTTCACACAAAAATTGAACAACAGTAAAGTACTGCATGACTTTAGGGTCTAAAGGGTACAGACAGCTGCCCCTGACTTCGATGGCAGGGATGCGTGGGGCTGGCACACTAGAGAAGCTGCCACAGTGCACAGAGCACTCTGAGAGCCCAGACTGGGGACAGACATGTGGAAAGTCCTTCAAAAATGAAATCCATTTAACTTAGTTTACCCAGATGTTCTCAAGGTTATCTGGCTGTGGACCATTTTTATCTCAGGAGACTTTATTAACAATTTCTGGCTATACTGTCAGAGATACCTTTCAGAGAATGTAAGACAATTTTGGAAGGAGATCAATGATCAACAGATCCAGTGAGAGAGGAGAAGAAAGCTCAGCAGTACTGAAGCCTGGGGGCTTGAAAAGATAAGGTATTAGATAAAATCAGGCATAGTCCCCAAAAAGGACATCTGAGAGAGGCAGAGAACAGCTAGGTAAGGAAAGATGCTAAAGATAAGATTCGCTAGCACAGCAATCTCACTTAGACCTACCCTCTTTTGTATCAGCAAAGCAATCCAAGCACAAGAGCACTTCAAAGTCAATGTTTTATTTTGGAGAACTCAAAGAGTTCACACAAATTAGTTCCCAACTGAACAATTATCGGAATGATATAGTTTATGAAAAACAGAAGAGTGAAATATGTAATGAGAAATAAAGTTTATACCTTGGTATATTGTCTTCTCTGTAATTTGAAGAATAGGGTTTAAAATAACCCAATGTGGTGACATAGATAAAATAAGATTGGTCATATATTATATTGACCTTTAATGAAACTGGGTGATGAGTATATGTGGATTTATTATACTCTTCTCTTATCAATTTTGAAGTTGACTATAATAAAAAATGTTTTTAAATGGACTTAAAACCTCGTTTGCATTACTATAAATATAACATCCCACTTCATGCTACATAACAGTAATGTCCTACAACTTCTGATATATATAGATTGGTTCTGGACAGCACATTTAAAGATGTAATCTACTGGGAGGCAAAATAAATGGCAAGTTCTATGTGCCTGCCAATCCAGGGAACAGTTGAAAACACGAGAGATTTTTAAGTTTAGAAAAGGAGGGAAAGAGGCAGAGGTGATTTTAAATATCTGGTCAATAATTGTCTTTCAGGGCTGTTGGGAGGATTAAATAAAATACTGTACTTAAAAGTGCTTAGTATAGGCCCTAACACATATGTGAACCCAATTGGCTATTTTATTATTAGTTACTACATAAAATTGGGATACTTTTTCTTTTAGCTTTGGAAGAATAAACTAAGGCTAATGAGCAGAAATAAAAGAATAAAAGACTTCTATTAAATAGCTACATTAGAGTTGTCCAATCATGAAAAGACTGATTGAAGGGGTACTGAGCTCTACATTATCATATATGTTTCTAAAATAGAGGCTGAATGAACCATCTAACAGGAAAGCCACAGCGTAAGTCTTTTATGACTTAGCTGGACATTTTAGGATTTTATCCAAATGCTAATGCTTCCACCCTAAGATTTCACAACTCGATATCAAGTGTTCTAAAAATGAGTCACCTCAGATTTAAGAATTTCATATTACTTTTACTGAGTTGTCATATGGAAGCAAGAATCTCACAACCTAATATCTACTGCTAATAATTTTGTGGTTTGGGCAAATTTCTTTAGGTCTGCAAAGTACTTAATAGAATTGGATGTTCAGAGCCAGAGGCTACAAAGTAGCTCTTTATTAAAAACTTTTTTATTACCCTAAAAAATTCTTTCTTACATGATAAACAATTAATTGTAATCATGTCTTTTTTTATCCTTCAAATAAACTTTGTAAAGTATAAACTCTTGGCGCTAGATTCTTATTAATGGTGCTATATTTGCCATCTTCAAAGCGAGAAAACTAAAATAGAATCAGAAACGCCCTCTGAGGTGCCTGGCACAAACTGCCATGAGGTTTCTCTCTAAATCAGGGAACACGAACCTGGGCGATCTCCTCGGTTGTCCTTAACTTCTCCTCCCAGGTCACAGTCATTTCCTGGATTAGCTTCTCTGATTCTTCCAGCCGTTCTTTTAGCTCTGGAGACTTCATTGCCTATAAGCAAAATGTTTATTTCATGAAATGTCTGTACGATGTGCTAAAAAAAAAGATTAGCTAAATCCAGAAACCAGAAGTAACCATCTGCCTCCTCTCAGCTCTGCGGCTCCCTGAGGTCTCTGATCTACCTGCGACTTAACTGACTGCCACTGATGCACAGCAGCCCGGCTGTGTGGGTCCCACAGACAAATCCAGTCATCCAGGACGGGTATGAAAGGGAGACAACTTTGTCCTTTTCCTCCAACGTTTAATGAGATAGTTCAAGCTATCAAGGGCTTATTCTTTAAATCCCCATCAGCCGTACATCAGTCATACATGATTCATTCTAGTCTTTACTGATGACGACTTCGGGTATTTATCCAAGTACACACAGACTACATTTGTACGTGTTGCAAACTAGATGGTGTTATTATTATCAAGAACAGAGACACAAAATTTAAAAGAATCCTGATGAACTTTAAGAGTATTCCTTAAACATAGGATAAAATTCAACAGGTAAAAACATGGTCAAGATAATAGTTTTGACCATGTATTTTACCAATTTGCTACCAGAAAACAGGCTATGACAAAGAAGAAAGCTATGGTCCTGCCCCAGGAAAGAGTCCCACAATGCTGGCAAACTGTGGGAACAGAAAGGCTAATTAGAGGAGGAATCATGATTCTGATATTTTATTCCTCTTTTGACAAAAGGCTGAGCATTCAGTGGTAGGTGAGAATTGTGTAGGTTTCAAAGTCAGTTATGAAACATAAATACCACATATTATAGAATGTTCAAAGAATACTGGAAATAGAGTACCACTAAATAGATGGGTACTGCTGGTATAAAATATACTTTCTACAAAAACAATTAACCCACAACATGGCAAAAATAGATTATTAAGGTATAAAAGATCTCCTTAAGATTTCCATTCTGACAGTGAACAAATGATAAACACAAATCTGTTTGGTTCTTCTTCCAATTAGTTTATGCACATTCTCCACCATTTTCTGCACTAAAATTTAATTATATGCATTTTTCAAGTGTCTCTCTTATTCTCCCTTATTCTATTACACCTCTTCTCTCTTGTCTGCTACCTATACTATAGAATGAAACAGATTACACCTCCTCTCTCTTGTCTGCTACCTATACTATAGAATGAAACAGTCTCTCAATTCCTTTTATCTTTCTTCCCATTAAATCTTTTAATACCTATAAAAATTCTCTAAATTGCAATTATGACAATCTGTCTTCCTTTATTTATTACTCATCTCAAATCTCTCTTCCTATAGGAAATTCAAAAATTCTAAGTGAATTACTCATCACTTAAGGCTAAAGGGGAAGAAAATTCAAGTTTAGCTTTACTAGATTTTCCTAGACCCATAAGGAATTACTCAGCTGTGCCTTATACCTCTGCTTTGGTTAGCTGCTCTCGGAGTTTTTCTACTTCTTCTCTTAGATCTCGGATGATTCGTGCGTTAGGATCCTCATTCACCACAGCGTGGTTCACAATGTGCTTGGCGCGATCTGCATACCGCAGAGTTGAAAGGGTTTCGTCATAGTTATCAGCTGCTGGACTCACAGTAGCTACCATGGCTGTCTTACTGTTGCCCCCAAGACTGTCCTAGAGAAGGAGAAATTGAGTAGCATTTTAAAATTGGTACAGAACATCATATGAGGAAGTAGAAGTCAGAAATGGTGAGATAACATCCCAAGGTCAAACACATATTTAAGGACCAAGTTGGGACTAAAATACAGATACACTGACTCTCTGTCCCATGATCTTTCTTTTCTGCCAAGCTACTTTTCTGCAAAAGGGAATTTTGGTTTTTGAGAATGGGCAGAAAAATACAATAAAGTCTACCTATATTTTAGTTTAATAAGAATTTTAAGACAATTTGTTCTCTTTTAACAGACAACATGATGCTATAAGTCAGCCGATTACTCAGAATAAAAAAAGAATTTCTTAAATGCCTACAAAATCTTCCTTAGAGGAACTGAACAATTGTGATACTATTATCTGATCAAAGAGTGATTACCTACAATCTACTCCACAAGGCCTTATACTTGGAATCTCTGAGAAGCCTAAATAATGGCCCAGAAAGTGTTGCTGATCAATCACCTTGTAAAGTTTTTAAAACAATAATTATACAAAAAAGTACAATTACAGTCTTATTAAACAAAAGATACATTGACGGTATTTCATTTTACTCCTTTGATACCACTTCTAAAACTACTAAAATAGACTTTATGTTCTACACAACCACTTCCACAGGCCAGACAAGGGTGCTGAACAAAAGGTACTCACCCTCATCATACTGAAACTGAAAAGTATAGTGAGAGGGGGTTTGAATAGGCTCCAGCAAATTTAAAATACCACTTTCACTTGAGAATATTAAAAATAACTAAATATAACTGAATTACAAAACTAGCCTTGGGAAATCAAGTCCACCCCCACTCCACTTCACCATACAATGGCCATGGCAGGCAGCCTCTAAGGTGCTTTCCACCTCCTTGTAGTAATACCTTCCCTTGAGTGTGGACAGAACTTGTTTATTTGCATCTAAGAAACAGAATACAGCAGAAGTGATAGCATGTCATTTCTGATTATAAGAAGATTGTAGCTTCTATCATGGGTGTTCTCTCACCACTGCCATGAGATGAGGTGGTCCTTTGAAGGGACCATAGGAATGAGTTTGGAAACAACTATTTAGGTGAGCATATGCGACCCCTGTCAAGCCTTATGATAACTGCAACCCCATACACTCTGATTGCAGCCACATGACAGATGCCAGCCAGACCACTTAGTTAGGCTACACCAGGAATCCTGACCCATAGAAGCTGTAAGATAATAGATGATTGTTGTTTCCACCTGATAAGGTCTAGGGGTAATATGTCATATAGCAATAGATAAGTACTCATACACTAATATACAATCCCAGGATGAGAAGAATTACCCAAGATAATAAATTCAATACCCTCTTTCAGTAACAGAATATCGCTGAATATAGTCTCAAGATTAGAGAGAACACTCAAACAGGCCAGTAATAAGGAATTCATTAGATCATAAGAAAGCCAACATTACTTTTGGGCAGCATTAACTGACATAAAATTCTTACTTTAGAAGATACAAAGTTTTTCCAATATCAATGTATCTAAAATGTGTTCGAGCATCTGTGATCTATACAATCTTTGTGCATAGACTTTATTTCGTCCTCAGCATTGGTAAATTGGATTACTAGTCTCCCATTCTACCAATAAAAAATCAGAGGTTTGTTCTGACAAAGAAGGTTAAATACTCTGCCTAAAGATCCAGAACTAGTAAATTGAACAATATTCTAATACAATTGTATTCTGCCTTCAAGTCCAATATGATTTGACCTGAGGAGTAAGTAAGGTGACCTGACACCTTCCCAAATTACTGTGTCCTAGAGCCAGAAACAAAATCATTCCCTGGAGTTCATAACAGTTCAATATAATCACAGACAGTACGTCTGCTTATTCGTCCATTACTGGAAATTTGGGTTTACACAGAAAACATAGCTAAGATCATTATATCTAGTTAGGAAATACACTGATGCATGAAAAAGGAAGGAAAAATAAGTCATCTGGGCTTTAGGAAGCAAGGGCAATTTCTATGAAGCCTGTATGAGTGTGTGCTTCACTATTCACTTCGAGATGCTGATCTCACATTGCTGGTGCCCAGCTCTGGAACGTTCAGAAAAATGTCAAGAAGAATCCCATGCACATTAATGAAATTCCAATGCCATATATAAAGATCACAGGAATTACATCTCAGATGGCAATTCAGTTCACTGGCAACACCGTGGTGGGGTGCTGCCCTTCAAGAACCCCGGCATTCTGTTAGCCCACATGAACAGCAAATACTGCTGGGAAAAAGGGGATGTGTAACAATAAGTTGCAAAGGAGAAAGCATGCACATTGTGCTTCAATTTGTGCTGAGAAAAGGAAACCTGGCAAACAACAAATCCTTGATATTTTAAAAGCTCTTGTGCATGAGCAACAACAATATGCTTATATTCAAAAATGGCCTCAGGCCATTAGCAAAAAGGAAATGGCAACAAAAGACCTGGCACTCTTTCAAGGAGAAATTATGAAGCTTCTTGTTTACTCTTTAATTGTTTAATTAGGCAAATCAGCTGAGCTTTGTTTCGAATGTAGCAACTGCAAATTAAATGGACCCTAGGAGAGAAATTTAATTTTGGAAGTCAGAATTGTTTAAAGAACTCTTTGAAGTCATTTAATGAAATTATTTCATTTTACAGAGGAGAAATTGAGACCCAGAAAGAATGACGACTTACCAAAGGTAATAATGCTAATTCAGAGCAGAGTTGAAATTATTCATTCATTCAACTCTTCATGGAGTTTACCATCTAGGGCAGTGGTTCTCAACCTTGGCTGCACATTAGAATTTCCGGAGGATGAGGCTCAGGAATCAGGATTTTAAAAGATTCCCAGGTGACTCTAATGTGCAGCCAAGGTTGAGAACCACTGATCTAGGGGGTGATGCTGGTGAGCAAATACTACATGATAAGAACTAAAGTAGGGATAAATACAGTATGGTCTGGGAAAACTGAGAAAGAGCAGAGAGCCCAATCTCGAAAGGTTAGGGAAGATCCCAAAGAAAGTGATATTTGAGACCTTAAGGTGAATAAACATCACTGGGGCAAAGGGAAGGAGAGTGGTATAACAGACTGAAAAGAGAAGGAAGAATGTTCCAGAGTCAGAGCAAAGTCCTAGAAGTCACTTAGCTAGAATTGATAATATCAAGAGCAAAAGGTGAACAATGAGAAGTAGGGAGCGGTCAGATTATGAAGGACCTAGTAAGTCACAAGTCATTAAGGAATTCGGACTTTATTGTAAGGGCTTCTGGAGAGTTATTAAAGAGATTTAAGTTTAAGAAGAGCATTAATATAGAAAGAAAATGCAACCTAACTGTAAAGAACAAAATGGACTAAGAAAGCTTAAGGGAGGTTTCAATCACGCAAGCGAGAGATGAAGTCTCCATTATGTAAGTGGCAATAAGAATGGGGAAAAGTGGATGAATTTGAAAGATAATCATTATTGGAGCATTTGTTACCAGATGTTACTTGATGTTGAGAACCATATTTAGAAGGTTACACACAGAAGCCAAAATCCTCTTAATACAAAATGGTTCTCCACAGGCCACTTACCAAATGAGTAAGCCCTCTATGACCCCTGAGAGAAGAGCACTCACATCTATGCCTGACCAGGAGTATCAGAGTTTCTCCAACTCTCAGATGTTATGAAAATCAAGAGCACAGCATAATTATAATGCAAATACAATGCAAAAAAAAAAAGAACTTTACAAAGAAATTGCAAGTCTTATATACGATGAGCACTTTTATAAGTTTAATAAAAGTTACATTGGAGAATACAAGAATCATACCAGGTCAAACAAGGATAGGGAGAGTTAGACTAACTAAGAATTAAAGAAGGAAAAACTAACAGGGACATAAAAGCCACTTCAAAGGAGAATGATTTGCATCTCAATGGATTCCCAGAGGCATTTGGGAAAACTGTTTAAACCCCAAAATGTGTTTTGCAAAAATGTCCCTACTTAGGATCTTGCTTAAGTCAAACAGAATAAAGAAGGTCACATAGTTTTTTTGTGTTTTTTAAAAAAAATATATTTTATTGATTTTTTACAGAGAGGAAGGGAGAGGGATAGAGAGTTAGAAACATCGATGAGAGAGAAACATTGATCAGCTGCCTCCCACACACCTCCTACTGGGGATGTGCCCGCAACCAAGGTACATGCCCTTAACCGGAATCGAACCCGGGACCCTTCAGTCCGCAGGCCAATGCTCTATCCACTGAGCCAAACCAGTTAGGGCAAGAAGGTCACATAGTTTTTAAGGAAAAAAAAAAAAGACAAAAATCAAAAAAAGTATTCATTTTTTAAGCGTGAAAATTTACACATAGAAGTTACTATTTTAACCTAATTTTACTAAACAATATAAAGTCAAATTTTTAAGAAAGGGTTTTGTTTTGTTCCTCAAGTTCAAGTATTTCCAATAATTTCTATCAACACTGGCAACAGTCAAGTGCTTCTCCTCCTAATCAAAAATAACCTTTGATGACCTTTTGCCTACGCAAAGAAGATGGGCAGCAAAGCCCTGCATTCCAACCTTGTTTCTGTCTCCATTGCCTCATCTGTAAAACAGGAACACCACCATTTACCTTCCAGGGGTAACTGAGATCATGTACATGAAGCACTTAGCATGGTACCTGATTCTACTAAGTTCTCCTGGCCTTCAGCCTATGGAATGGCCATTAGGCCAGTGGTTGGCAAACTCGTTAGTCACCAGAGCCAAATATCAACAGTACAACCATTGAAATTTCTTTTGAGAGCCAAATTTTTTAAACTTAAACTATATAGGTAGATACATTGTTATTAACTTAATTAGGGTACTCCTAAGGCTTAGGAAGAGCCACACTCAAGGGGCCAAAGAGCCGCATGTGGCTCTTGAGCCGCAGTTTGCTGACCACGGACCTAGGCCATTTTAACTATATCAACTAACAAAAGGTATTTCCTATTGTCTATTTAAGTGGACTGAAGTAGCAACACTGAAACAATAGGACAATGACTATTCTGTCTTTTAAATCAGGCACATGCAGGGAATAACCATGAATGATTAGGAAATGTTTTTGTGGAAACTTTGAGAAAGAAGTAAGTATCTTATTGAGATTTCTTCTGGAAATTAAACAAATGATATTTTAAGGTTAATTATTAACTTATGAAGACCAGTACAATTATTTCCTTGGTAGTGAAATGTTTTGTAATGTCCCTTTAATTCAAGAGTTATTTAGAAGTAGTTTTTAACTAATAAATTTTGTTTGTTCAAAATTGAGACAGATTCATAGACACAGAGAATGAACTGGTGATTGCCAGAGGGATAGGGGTTAGGGGACTGGGTGAAAGAGATAAAGAATTAAGAAGTACAGATGGGTAGCTAGAAAATAGTCATGGGGCCCTAGCCACTTTGGCTCAGTGGATAAAGTGTCGGCCTGCAGACTGAAGGGTCCTGGGTTCGATTCCAGTCAAGGGCACATGCCAGGGTTGCAGGCTCAATCCCTAGTAGGGGGCATGCAGAAGGCAGCTGATCAATGATTCTCTCTCATCATTGATGTTTCTATCTCTCTCCCTCTCCCTCTCCCTTCCTCTCTGAAATCAATA